GTGGTGCTAAAATCATAAGATTTGAGAGGGCTGGCTAAGAAGCTCACCCTAACAAAAAGAACATTCATTTCAACGAAAAGCTAACAATCTGTGAATCTACCAGCTGCTGAGCTGTGACAACAGGGGCTGTGCCACTCCCACAGGCTGCACCAGGAGCCATCCCTCCATGGTTTGGTTCCTTCTCAGAATTAAGGCAGTTGGCAAACCACTTCAGGAGTCCGTCCCTCCAGGGGTGGATACTTGGCTTTGTTAACATCAGAATTATGGGTTAACTCTTTATTTTCTGTAACAGGTGGGTGTCTGCAATCACCTGGCAGACAGGTACATGCTGCCCAAATGCTCTCTCGCTGTGATCATAGTTAATATCACCTCTGTCTGATCTGCCCTAAATTGTAATTGTGTTATAAAACGCTTGGAGACCCCAGATCTCCAGGATCTATTCGTCGAAAAGATCCTCATTAACAAAACCATAATATGTACCTAATGTTTATAAACCATACAACTTTAATGGAAAATATATTTTAATTTACACCAAACAACAGAAAATTATTGAAGCTGTAAAAACTCACTGTCCTAATCAAACAACAACACCAAACAAAAAAAAAAACCACCACAGAAATTGATGCTGCCCGTGACTGAATCTTCTGAGCTCCAAGAATAAGTCTCTCTGTCTCTTCTAGAAATTCCAAAAAAACCCGAAATTACATCTATATTTCTGCTAAAAACCAGAAAGGTGGTGAAAATTTACAAACTGAGGAGAGGGTTTGGGGAAGAAACAAATATTTGAGCCACTGGGAAAAGGCTTTTTGGGTTCTTTGGCTCTCACAATAGAGGAGCCCTTGCCAATATACACATGGAACAAACCCAAAAGCCGATGCTGATCTCCAGGGTGAATGCACCTGTGATGACACAGCACTGAAGCACCCTATGTCCACAACTGCCCTCACTCAGCCAGGAGCTCAGCTGGTCCAGAGGGCTGAGAAACAGTCAAATTCCCCAGGTTTTTCCGTTCAGATAAAGGGGTCGAGGGTTAACCTTAATACTGGAAGCTGCGTTTGGTCTGAATGTCATCGAGAATCTGCTGCAATTCTTCGTCTTCAAAGCGGCCCTCCAGGCTGCCAGGTAAGAACAACGAGGAGACACTAAAACTTTCAGAAATAACCTCCCCCCTGGATTCATTTCAGTCGTAGTTCCCTCCCCTCAGCCTCAACGTGCCATCGCCCACCTGTAGGTAACCGCCAGGAACCATCTGTAAGGTTACTGTACCAAGAACAATCTAATCCCTGGGCAGTGTCTCCCCTTTTCGTGACAAAACTCTATATCCTTCCCAGAGTTTTCTGCTCAATAATTTCTAAATGTGTTATCAAAAAGGCAAGGTAGGTGCAGGTTTATGCAGACCTCTAAACTAAGACCATGCAGCTGCCTGCTCGTAAGCCAGTCTGTTCTTGCTACGAAATCTTAACATAGAATCAGAGAATGGTTTGGGATGGAAGGGACCTTAAAGTTCATCTCATTCCACCTCCCTGCCAAGGGCAGGGACACCTTCCACTAGCCCAGGTTGCTCCAAGCCCTGTCCAACCTGGCCTTGGACACTTCCAGGGATGGGGCAGCCACAGCTTCTCTGGGCAACCTGTGCCAGGGCCTCCCCACCCCCACAGGGAAGAATTTTTTCCTAATTTCCAGTCTGAACCTAATTTTTTTCAGTTTGAAGCTGTTCCCCCTCATCCTGTCACTACCTGCTCTTGTAAAAAGCCTCTCTTCATCTTTCTTGTAGGCTCCCTTTAGGTACTGGGAGACCAAAATTAGGTCATCCCAAAGCCTTCTCTTTTATATAATGGCATATAAGGAAGAAACTGTAATTTAGATGAATGTTTAGTTCCCTCCTCTATCTCAGGCCATGAGGTAACAAATCAAGCCATGAAGAAGTTACTGCTTCCACATACCTTATCCACAAAACAGTTCATTTGCTCCAACAGCAAAAACCTCCAGCAAACACAAACACAGCCAGCTAAGAACCCCAGTTTAAGCTGTTTACACTTAATCCAGTAAAAGTTGTCAGGAACTCATTAGGGACAAGCACAAATGGTGCCTCACTGTCAGATCAGTGGGTAGGGAAGACCAAGATCAAATATTCTTACATCAACAGAGCTGGATTGAAGCAACAGCACCTGCCCACAGCTGGCTTTAGATCACAGGGAAGCATAAAGCAGTCTCTGTACAATATGTTTAAGTGCTCACCTAGGAATCAGAGCTTTGGCTTCCTCAGCTGTCTCAGGACACAGGTTAGCCAAACATGCCAATTCAAACTTATGGAGCTTTTTCTGGAGCAGCAAACTGTAAGAAAGACAACAACTTCGTGAAATTACAAAACAGAAATATAAAAGGGCATAAACCAAACCAAATGGATATCTTTTTTCACACTGCTTTTTGGCACTGAAGTTAGGTTTTTTTCAGGAGGAAATACTCATTATATAATTGCATAGAGGAATAAAAAAAAGTCCCATCTGCTAAATCCACTTACCCTGAATTACACTGCAAAGTCTAGAAAATCCTCCCATTTAATGCAGTCAGCTATCACTGAAATACTGAAAACAAAAGCAGTTCACAAGGCTTAACCTGGACGAAATACAACCTACTGTCAAGAATTATGATCAGATTTCCTGCCTCTTCAGAAAGAATTAAAGGACAAAGCAGGAAACACCACTAGACCGTCCTTTCATAAAGCAGCATCAACATTATTCACAGATCAAATTCTCCAGTGAGTGTTCTTCCCTGCCCTTCCCGCTCACCTGCGCACACTGGCGATGGTTTCCCGGTTTTTAAAGCGGCTGAAGCGCGCCGTGTAATTCAAGGTTTTCATGAAGACTTCTGACAGCTCCTGCTCATCCTCTGCGCTCTCGTTCTGCTGCTTGCGGTGCTCGAGCAGCATGTGCACCTCTGAGTTCAGAAGAGTTTCCGCGGTTTCAAATTCTGCGGCCGAGCGAGAGAACGCCAGCACCGAGGGGGAAGCGCAGGTGAAAAGGAGAATTATGGGAATTTTGCACCAAAATCTAGCTCTGGGCAATAAAGAAGTGAAGGATGTGTTTTATGGCAGCTGTGTGAGCTCTTTCACCAATGACTGGGCAGCATTTCGTGCCGAAAATGCTGATAAAAATTACACCACTTCGAGTGACAACCTGAGGTGTTCGTCTTTTGATCTCATATTTTACACTTATGGCCCTAACATTATGATTTTTCACAGTTTTGTGTATGTTTTCCTCACCCTTTTTTGGCAGAACTTAAGCATGAAACGCTTCAGAAAAAAAAATTTAGACCTGTAATACTCAAAAAAATTTAGAAGCGATGCCTGTGGCCTTCAGAAACCTCTGATTTATTGAAATAAATACAGATGTTTTGAGTATTTTAAAAAAAGGTTTCGTTTACTTAAAATGTTAATTGACCTACTCCAATTTTATTATCAGAAAGAAACTTTTAACCAACCTTAACAGACTCTCCCCCCCTTTTTTAATCAGTTTTGTTTTCATTCATCATCACCATAACCACTGTATGTGTTCCACTAATAACAAGGTCTTTTAATATCAGCAGTATGAGCTGTTCAAAAGCAGCAGTGTCAAAGGCTGCATCCCAGGGTGCAGATACAGGGCAGTGCTAGAAAAGGACTGGCAAACCATAATTTGCATTGAGCAGAGTTAGCTTAGTCTGAACATGAGTAGGCTATAGATTTTAGTACTCAAGAATACAAAAAACCCCAGTGTTTCAGGGCTACACTTTTGTTCATAACTCAAAAATGCAGCACAGTGCCCATTTTTTTTTTTTTTCTCTTTTCTTTTCCAGGGTGGCTTGGAGGTGTAAATACACCTCTGGAATTTAAAATGAACAATTTTCTGAAAAAAATACACAGACCGTGAGAGTCTGTGGTTACCAGCTCTGTCTCCGGAAAGCTTGTTTCCTAAATGCAGTAGTATTCATAGAATCCCAGAATGGTTTGGGATGGAAGGGACCTTAAAGCTCATCTCATTCCACCCCTCTGCCACGGGCAGGGACACCTCCCACTATCCCAGGTTGCTCCAAGACTTTGGACACTCCCAGGGATGGGGCAGCCACAGCTTCTCTGGGCAACCTGTGCCAGGGCCTCGTCACCGTCACAGGAAGAATTCCTATGATGAGGAGCATCGGTGAAAAAGCAAGGGTTACACCAAACTGCAATGAGCTTTTCACTGTAGCCTGATAGGAATTTTTTTTTTTTTTTAATCCTGTACACACACACAGTGGCCCACGTAAGAACTGCCATATCCTAGCAACCACGAGGTTCCTTAAACGTATATAAATGATTTACTACCAAGATTTTTAAGACTCGGGGCTCTGTAACCGGCGGAGGAGGGTCAGCGGCGTTGAGCAGCGCTCCCATCCCACTGAGCTGCCCGGCCAGGCTCGGTCCCTCACAGGAGGCCGCCGCAAGCTCCGACCCCCGCCCGGCCCGGAGCCCCGACCCCCGCCCGCACCTTTGGGGAAGACGAGCTGCGAGGCGTCCTCCTCCACGTCCGCCGCCCGCGGGTCGCTGCCGCCCGCCGCCATCGCCGGAAACCCGCAGCGGAAGGAACGCTGCGCCGGGAAAGGGCGGCTCTCCCGTGTGAGGGGCGGGCGGAGGATGGTTCACCACGGTGTGAGGGGCGGGCGGAGGATGGTTCTCCACGGTGTGAGGGGCGGGTGGAGGATGGTTCTCCACGGTGTGAGGGGGGAGAGGCTGGTTCTCCACGGTGTGAGGGGCGGCTCCGCCCGTCTGAGGGGCAGCGTGTGGCTTTGCCCGGTGTGAAGGGCGGGGGGAGGCTGATTCTCCACGGTGTGAGGGGAGGGGAGGCTGGTTTTCCCCGGTGTGAGGGGCGGCTCCGCCCGTCTGAGCTCAGCGTGTAGTTTTGCCCTGTGTGAGGGGCGGGGGGAGGTTGGTTCTCCACGTTATGAGGGGAGGTTGGTTCTCCACGGTGTGAGGGGCGCGGGGAGGCTGGTTCTCCCCGCTGTGAGGGGCGGCTCCGCCCGTCTGAGGGGCAGCGTGTGGCTTTGCTGGCTCTCCCCGCTGTGAGGGGCCGAGGGTCCGTTCTCCCCCGAGCACTGCTGAATAGAAAAAAGCGGAGTTGCCGCTGTGGAGAACCGTGGGGAAACAGCGGGGACGGGGCGCCTGAGCAGCCCCCCCCTTCCCCCACGAAGCAGCCCTCAGAGGTGTGTTTAAGCTCGCTTAGCAATGAGCTCCTTTTAGAGAGGGAAAGAGCTGGGGTGCTGAGCGTTGTTTATGTGACCACGGGGCAAATAGCTGTGGCAGACGAAGACATCATCAGACCAAGACTCTACAGCTCCCTGACAGGAGGTTGTAGCCGGGTGGGGATCGGCTGCTTCTCCCAGGCAGGCACGGACAGGATGAGGGGACATGGCCTTAAGCTGCGCCAGGAGAGGAGGTTTAGGTTGGACATGGGAAGAAATTCCTCACAGAAGGGATGATTAGGCGTTGGAATGGGCTGCCCAGGGAGGTGGTGGAGTCACTGTCCCTGGAGGTGTTTAAGGACAGCTTGGACATGGGACCCAGTGCCATGGTCCAGTTGACATGGTGTTGGGTTACAGGTCGGACTCGATGATCACAAAGGGTCTTTTCCAACCCAATTGATTCTGTGATCATGAGCCCAAAATCTTCAAGGCACAAACCAGGGCCCGAGAGAAGGATGTGGAGGAACACTGAGGGAAACAGTGCTTGTCCTTCACATGAGCAAACCCTTCTCCTTCTGCTCTGTCCTTTAGGAAATAACCAAAGAGCTCAAAACTGCACCGGTCCCCCTCCCCAGACTGCACAGCAGCACCCAGGACCACCTGAGGGCACCAAGGCAGCAGATGCATCTTCACATCAGTGGATCAGTGAGCTACAGCTTGCTCTGTTTTGCCACCAGAACATCCTCCAGCTAGACAGCAAAGCCCAGCCTTAGGAAAACTGTGACTGTCTGTGCCAGAATTTCTGTCTAGCTCAACTGTGATTAATAGACCTCGGTCTATAATGAACGAGTATTGATATCATAACACACTTCCTAAGGAAGGTACTTTTTCAGACTATCCAGAAGCAATCTACAGATCCCTAAAAGTTATAGGCAGGCTGAAAATGGAGATAGTTCTCCCAGCACTGCCAACAAAATAACTTATGGAGTAGTGTTTTCCCTGGAGAGCTCACATGTAAGTGCCTAACCAGTCTAAGACTCTTAAAGTAATCATCTTATCAGCCCTTACTATGTCATGCTGCGTCCCTAAAGAAAGGCAAAAATAGACTGTTGGAGGATTTATGATGAAACCACTCCTGTTCCCCTGAACTGCATCTGTGCCTAGGTGAACTGTGGGGAAAAGGAATGCATTAAAAATAAACTATAGGAATATGAAGAGGTCAGATAATAGATTTCTAATATTTGTTATCTGGATAATGAGCATAGCAGAGGAACTGAATGGAAAGTAATTTGCTAAGTGGTACAAGCAGAAAGACATCCAGTAAGAAATGGAATGGAAATATCTTGGGGAACATCTGGCAAATTAAACAATTTCGATTAGGTTTACAAGAAAGCAAGGAAATCCATGCCAGATTGACCAGAGAAGCATTTAACATCATTTGGAATCCTGACTCAAATAACCCATCAGCTCAGAACATCGTGATTCTCAGAGCAGTAGGTAGCTCAGTGGGGTTTAAGTTACTAATTTCCCCTGTTGGTTTTCCCCCAGGGATCCATTCTACTTAAGTGTACAAAAACTAAATCAAGAGAGCCAGATTCTTGCAAGAGTTTATAGATACAGTTTAAGAGGCTGTCATAAAAGATTAAGTCCATTGTCACTGATGTGTTTTGTTTTTTAAGAATTTAAAAAATGAACTTATAAACTCCACAGGAAGTATTGTTCAGCTGCTTGCAACAAACCAAACAGAGCAGAGTACCTGACTTTTTTGTTATTTTTAAAATGCTCTGGCTTTTTCCTCACTAATAATGACTATTTCAGCATTTGTCAACAAAATACACATAGAGAAGGAAGATGAGCTTGATTAAAATAAAGACTATAGGAACTTTTGAGCAGCTTTAGTGGTCACATCCTAAATTAAGCTGATTAAAAAAAAAAAAAAAAGACTACTTGGCCAAATGTAATTTATCATGAATAGAGCCTCTAATATTCCATATTCCAGGGCAAAAAGCATTGATCCTTGCTGGAGACATGTTATTAGGTAGCAGATTGTTAGGCAGACCTATTGTGGTAATTTCTGTGTTGCTATAGTTTAAACACAGAGCCTGTAAACACTAATTGCAGCTCCACAGATCTAACAAAATACTCAGCTAAATACCAGGTAATCAAACGTAGGAAGAGCTAATAACAAGGATATTCTATTATTAGCATAAACCTACTTTGTGATATGCTTTCCTTCTAATCCAGCAGCAGGAGAAATGTGATTTTCCTAGCAGTTTTTTTAAGTTTTTCCAACAGTAATTCCACATTTTCTGTGGAGTGCCAGTGTGATCCTTGTGGAGATAACCACCCACTGAGGACACCGTGTGCCACACCAGCCAGTATTGCACAAGACATGTGTGATTTTCATCTGTGTTCTTAAAGCATAACTCTTCAGGTTTAGGTTTTCACACCATTTTGCCTTTATTTTTACTCCATTTAAAAGTATGTCTCCAAAACCATAAGGAACTAACACGTATGAGCAAAGTAAAATTATATTAATATCCAGTAATGAAGTCACAGGAAGCCTCTGAATGCAAACCTGCATGATCTGTTCAGTTTTTAAATACACATGTGACATCTGCACATACTAACAACTGGTTGTATCATGCATGATTTCTGCCAGAATTAATCTGATTATAAGAGCAGTCTAGCTGACTGCAGAAAAGAAAAAAAAAAAAATATGGTTCAATAATCTGGGTATTGTTCATTTTGCAGAAGTATGTACTTGTTTTAAGGAACGTGGTAACGACACTCTTCTGTGCTCTCTGGGTTTTCTGAGTGACATCAAACAGACACACAAGTCATCTTTTCCCAGACCATGGGAAAACCAGCTTAGGAACTTTCCTGTGGTACTGCTCTGTGTACTGTCAGTATAAATATTGACTTATTGGGTCTCATGGGAAAGTTTTCCTTTTTTTCATTTTTGTCTTTAAGAAGTGGCATTTCTCAATCACAGGTAAAATAAAATTCTTTTTTTTCGTGTTTAGAATAAAAATGCTCAAGTATTCTTCATTTCAAGTGTCTTGTAGATATTCCTCCTAAGCTGTCTTTAATTTTGTTCTGGAAAGAAGTGAGTGCCAAATGAGTAATTAATTTTGTTTCTTATTTCAAACAGGAGTGACAACAGAAGACAGTGTTTCCTGGAGAATTATCCTGGTTTATATTTAGCCTGGATTGACCTGTTTCAGCGTGCAGTCATATGTACACCCTTCCACCTGGCCTCCTCCTCCCTGTGAGCTGCTCAGTGAGTGTTCCTGTGGTCACAGAGTGCAACCTGCACGGAAGAACCTCTAATGGAAGACACCAGACAAAGATTTTATGTCCGACTGATTCCATAGGAAACCTGAAAAAATCAAGTAAGGAAAAGCACATGACACAAAAACGTACGAAAAGTCAATGTGCTCCTGACCACAAAGCTGTCAGGAATATACCTGATAACTTCCCTGGACACATGATGGCAGTGATATGGGTAACTTCAGAAATAAAATCACCTGGCAATCACATTAGCCCCAGAGTCCTCCTCAACCCCTCCTCACACTGCCCAGGGGATTTACTTTCTAGTACCAGCAGCATATTTCCTGAAGATAGATTTTTGCTTTGTAGTTGTGCTGAGGTCAATGAGCTTCTCAGGCATATTTAAGTCAAAACTTGGTCAAAACCAAACCCCTTGCTTTGGTTGGTGTTTACTTTGGGGGTTTATGACTGTTCATTGACACCCAGGGCTGCCCTTCCCAAGAGCCACAAGCAGAAAATGTAGGATCTCCAACTACACATCTGCCACAGATAAAAAGTTAACAATAACCTGACAGGGTATGGAAAAAAATCAGGGAAACCAGAGGCATAATTCAAAACTATTCCACAAATCAGTTAATCCTGTCCCAAAACATACACTCAAATTGTAAGAATCCAGAAAGACGTAGGTGTTTCTTCTGAAATAATATTTTTAGATTAAGACTGATTTTTAGATTTTTTTTAGACTAATTTTTTTAGATTAAGACTAGATTTTAAGACTACAGCCTCAGAGTATAGGCAATCTGTTCTCATTAGTTCCTTTTAGAAGGCAAAAACCCAAACCCCAATTTTGATAGTTTCAGACATGTTTAGAGTGCTCTGTACATATGTGCTTTATGTGTGTCATGGCATTCCATCGTGATAGAAAGTTATTGGCAAGCAAACATTATTTCAGGACACAAAGACACTGCTGTGCTGTTATTAATGAAACATATTTAGTAGTTGGGTTTAATTTTCCTTCTGTTTTAGCTTGCTTCCTTCTAGAGAGCCTGTGTGACTGTTTCTGTGCCTCCAGACAGCTGCCATCCCACTCTGGCAGCCTCCCTGGTTTGGAACATTTGGTGTCATTTACAGGTTTGCTGCTCAGACCTGTAATTTACTGTTTGCCTTTCTAGATGAGAATGATTTCATCTTATCCCCCATAAAGGCTGTGAGAACCCACATAAAGAGGACAGTACAAATAATCTTTATCTATTATGATTTATTCTCTACAATACTTCATTAGAGGATAGAGTTCAATTATTTACACTCAGAAGTTATTATATAGGTAGGAGGCAACCAAGTGTAATACAAAGAATTGGTCTGACATCTCTGCACTGAAGGTCAAAAGAGGTCTCCTGCTTTAAGGAAATAAATTAACCAAAAAAACCCAACAAAACAACATGTAGTTTCCAGAATACAAACAGAAAAACAGCACTAATGGTCAGTGAAGATTGCAGAGGTTTGTTAATGTACTATGAAAACAAATTATTCTGTGCAAAGGTTAAAATGAACTCTTAGATTTCCTTATAGATTTTTTTTTTTTTGTTCTGATAAATTGTAGATATGTGATATTTTGACTACAAAACGTTCCCCAAACTGAAATGGCCTCAGTTGAGATTGACTGTTGAACAATACAAAAAAAAAAAAAAAAAAAATTAAGAACCTCACAGTGGAAACATTCCAACACTGACAGACTCCAGTGATCAAAGACATTCTCCTGTAGTTACTGTAAAACAAAGACATTTCATCATTGCAGTGAGATTATTTCTCAGTTGTGGTTGTCATGAGAATAAGCCCTTCTAGACCAAAAGGCACTTGCTTCTAAGGATGAGTTAATCCAGATCTAACCAGGTAACAGCTGCTTTGAGGAGCAGTTCTAACCTGCTGTCCCCAGCCAAGCAACCACTCGTAGCAGCTGGTCACTGATTTTGGTTGCCTTCATCTTGAGACAACTCAAAGCACATTTTGTTTCTAGTTCACCTCTTTCATCCTTATGCATAGCTGCCGTGTAATGATCTAGAAATGGGATTATTTCCTGAGACCACCTGTCCTTGTCATACATTTCTCTGAGCTAACTTAGCTACTGACACAGTTTTCAACTGATTTTATAGCTGGACCCTTATGGGACAAAAGCTGGGAGGGCCTGTTCCTTAGGCAGCAGACCAGTGTTTTCTGACCTGCCAGCTTCTCTTCTCACTGCAACAAGACAAGAACACAGTACATATCTGGAGGCATTTTTGTTTTTGTTTTTGTTTTTTTTTTTAAACAGACTGAGTGGGGAAATAGAAGTGGGAGAGGATAAGACTTCCCCAGTCCCAAACCATCTGTCCCACTTTAGGCTTAACCCAACCAAGTCACTCAATCCTAAAATTCCGTTCTTTAAAAAAAATTACAGCTAACCCTCCCCACCCCACCCCTTAGTCATCCCTAGTCAAAGAAACTGAAATCAGGGAAACACTGTACACTGCTGAAGACACAGAACAGGGCAAACATCTGAAAAAGAAACAGGATAGTTGAAAAGCCTGGCACTGTATGCCTGCATGACCAGTCTCACCGAGCGTGCTCAGAGGTGAAGTTTTAGCACCATTTTTTTGCTTTTTTTTAAACCTTTTAGAAATTAAATTCTAACATAGAACACTTGAACAGTAATGAGTGTAGCCCTATGTATCATACTGTTTGACAGCTGAAAGGTAAGTGGTATGTCCAGAGCTGACCCCACCCTCCCCCATCACTACATGGCACCTGGGAGAGTAATTACAAACTGGAGTGGTTTGTGACAAGACCAATTTATTCTCAGCAGCAGGAAGCTATGAACAATCCCTTCATCTTCAATTGCTTTCCAACACCACCACAAGGGAAAAGTGGCAATTTGTAAGAATGACCCAGTACAGGGTGAAAGCTGGGTCGATACTGCACCGTTAGCCAGAGTACCCTCCCTCCCAACTCCCTTCTCCAGCAGAATGTTACACCAACACAAAGCCAAACTGCACAGCTGTGCCTTGCTTCCTTAGGACCAGGAGCAGCAGCCTGGCCTGCAGTTCTTAGCTTCCCACCAGCCCTATTCCCTGCCGTGCCAGGGCAGAATTTCGGGCTTCAAACACCAGCCAATTACCCCACGCAAGCAGGCTCTAAAGATACGTGCAACCAAACAGCCATGACTCTCCTGTGCACTTGTATCTGCTTTCCCAATCATTACAGACCCTCCAGAAACTTGGAAAACAAACCAACACCACCCCAAACTATATTCTGAAGTCCAGTTACCTTATTGAGAGAGTGTCATAATTTAGAGTTCATGACGCCCCTCAAGGATGCTGCAGAATAACAATGGGTAACTTAACTCCCTCTTAGAAGAGAGTATTTCTTGTGATCATCAGCCATGGGAGAAGAAATACAGAATGCACACGAGTTTCACCCAGTTTGGGTAGTAGAGGTTTCCCCACTCACTGCCTTGCTGTGGTAGGACTAAGCTGATAGATCTTAGCAGTGAAACTGCACACCTCTATTCCACAGGCCTGCTACGAACTGGAACAGTTCCTGCCCTGAAGATCAGTAGTCACACTGGAGAAAGTGGCTGTCCTAGCAATAGGAAGGTCCCCAAAACAGTTAGCTTAAATTAAACAAATTTCAGTCACTAGTCTCACTGTATGACTACAGTCAGTGCCCTGCAAACCCCTCCCCAGCCCTAATCCAATCTGCTACGAATATTTGGAACCAAAACTTGGTCTGAACAGACTGTCCAGGGATACACAAGTACCTTTTCCTCTCCATACACAGCATGTGCCATGTTGCTCTCTGACAGGCACAACAGCAAGCTGTTTCACAGCAGGCTTCATCACCAAGCTCTGTCTGAAAACCCAGAAAACTGTAAACCAAGAGAATTTCTAAAGAATTCGACCTACCAAGGATCTGAGCCTTAAAGCCTTCTAGGGTTTATTTAAATAATGGATTCATTTTTCACATCTCTAAGTGTTTTCTGTTGGTGAGGACGGGGTGCCATCCAGGTGTTCAGCCCTCCCCAGTATCATGATGTCCACCTGTGATGCGTGGGGACTGCAATCAGCTCTCAGTACACAACAGATACCGGAGTTAAAAAAAATTAAAAAGAACCTAAAAAATGTTTTGTTGGACTCCGTTGCCCAGGCTGCCAGGGGAATGCTCCTACTTGATCTGGGGGGCTTCCATAACAAGCAACTCCGGTTTCCACAGTGTCAGTAACACCCAGGAATGGATCAGTCTGAAGCAGCACTTTCACTCCGAGAGGTCTTCTGCACCTCACGACAGTTCGTAGGCATGGAGCCCCAATCCAACTGAACCCCCACTCAGAGGGAAGGCTGAGATAAGGCTTGGGCCCCTGAAGTCCCGTCACGCTCTCACTCTCCCCCCAGGTCAGCAGGAAGGCAGACTTGGCAACGGAAGCTAGCATCATAAAATGGTGCAGTAATAGAAGTAACTGGACCAGGAAGAGGAGGCGTCCGCCCCGATGATATCGTAGCCGTTGGCAGCAACTGGGGAGTGGGACTGGTCATGCAGCCGTGTGTCAGGAGTAATGATTGTAGAGGGGGGGGGCATGAAGGGTGCCATTCTGGAAACAATGCTGGCGGGAGGCCATGTACTCTGCATAACTGATTGTCACCTTCTCGCTGCGGTACCTGCGGGAACAGCGGCACAGAAATAACGTCAGCACACACGGGGGGACGAAACAAAACCCATCCTCACCTCACCCCTCAGCTCACAGCCAGGGACGGACAAGAGGAGCCCACTGCCTCAGGTACTGCCTCATGCAGCAGTCTCAGTAACCCATCTGAGCTCCAGTTAGCTTCAGTGTCCCAAAAGCTGAGCCCTAGTCAAGGTGATCAGAACTAAGGGATGCCTGAAGTAGCACACATGAAACAAATTATCAATTTGTATTCTTTTTTTATCCACTTGCAGGGGGCAAAAATGGCATGAAAAGTTTGCTGGAAGAAGACTCAGTTACAATGGCTAAATAATCAGTATTTCACTATTGTGGTTATCTTCACATTTGAAAGGCTACTGAAAAAAACGATGGAGAGGTGTGCAAAGAAAGGTTAGTTATACCATATAAGTGACAGTCTGTGTTGTAAAATCAGAATTCACAAAATTTGAAATTCCTTTAGAGATCAGAGTTTTCCAGGTTTTTCTAAAGCACACTACACAGCAGATCAACAAAGTGGTTGTGAGTTGCACTAAGACCATGTTACGCCAGATTTTAATGAAAACCTTCGTCCTGTCCTCTTCTGTTAAAAAAAACCCTGCACACCCAACTCATTTCTCCAGAGGTAAGAAACGACCTGATAAATTAATGTTTCTATACAAAACCAGAATGTCCCAATTTTTACTAACATAAAGGGAGCAGAAACCAATAAGACAGCTGGGGGTATAGAAAAGCAAGCAAATTCTGAAAACCAGCCAAATTCAAGTGTGGTTTGAAGACAGCTGTCGCCTACAAATAGCTCCAGCATCCACAGATGACCACACTGAGAAAAGGAAGTTCATTGAAAAGATACTGAAAAATCAACCCTTTTAACTTTCAAAGGCTCTGCTTCTGATCTTTCACATAGATGGCAATATTAAAACCAGTGACCCTTCTCTTAGAAAATGCCAAGTTTGATCCTGCCTGGACCAAACATACTGCGCTTCATCCCATTACAGATGGCATTTCTGGTTTGGTCTTTCACGTTACATGTCTCATCTGAAAGAGGCTGAAGACTTACATCAAGCACAAATACTTTAAATTATCCACAAAACGCTATAAAGCAAAATTAAAAGATGACAAATACATCAACTTACCTGGTGAGTTTAATTGTTTTCCTAAAATCATTGGTAATTGGAGCCTTAAAGCCACCTTTCCTGAGTAAGGAGTCTATGGTCTGGATCTGATCCCAGTCTGTTGAAAAACAGAAGCAAGGGAAATTTTTCAATATAAAAAAGATGTTTCAGAAACATAAGAGATGCATTAAAAGGCCTCTAGAAAAGCAAACTAAACAGGAAACTGAGCTTTAGAAATCCCAGTGTTGAACTGGACACACATGGCCTGATGCATGTACACCATCTGCACATGCCAACCCCTTTTAATTCCTACTGGAGCTGGTCTATGAAACAGTAATCCCATTTTCCATATGACCTCTCTTCTTATAAAGGTCTGTGCCTTGCTTCTGTTGTGGGGACCCCAAACTGTTTCACCATGTGCCACTTAAGTTTAGCTCCATAAGCCTTGAAAATAAGAGAATACTTGGACAGATTGGGATTGATGCTCTAGTGACAGCACAGTGCACTGCTACGTGAGAGATCAGAGTTAAAATTACTACCTTAGTCTTTTGCCCCAGAGCCAGGAGGGTGTAACCACTCCACTCTGCTAAGTGGAGGAAAGGAGGCAATATTTTGAGCAGTTACCATGGTGACTGCTACTCTATTTGAGTGGGAACTGTGCTCCAGAGGGGCCCTTTTCCAGCCCTCCTCTGGAGGATGCTACTTTAGCAAGAATGAGGAGGAAAGGGACCCTTCTGTTGGTGCTGTGCAGCCTGCAGTTATCCTGGTTGGTGGGAGAAACACAGAAGGGGAAAGATGCAATGCTCAGTGAGGCTGGAAGATCCATACTTTGAGATCCACTATTTCTAAAGCCCTAAAATATTTTTATGCTAAGATACAGCTGTGAGAAAGGCCAGGTGAAAACCCAGCAGCAACTGTATCAGGTGTCAGTTATCCAGATTAAGCCTGGTGGCTCCACGGCACTACTATGAGAACAGCATGACAGCATTGCAATCCAAGCCCCAAATCCATGGATTTAGGTTACCCAGTTCTGTGACACAACATGTTGACACATTTGGCTGCCATCTCAAACCCACCTTGTTCCTTAGCAACCTCAGGTAAATACGTGGCTGTGCGTTTGACACCTTTCTCATTGATGAACTCTATTCTGATCCCATGGATACCAACCTATAGATGGAAATGAACAGCCAAATAAGAGGTGTTTGCTAGCACTGAGTCCACGACTGAGTCGTCATTCCCACAGCACTGTGTATCTCTCTCTCTCTCTCTGGACAGTTTGGCTTTTGCCTGGACAAGGACATTCTCTTCCCCACTCTCTGTTCTTGCCAGGCAGGTCTCACAAGCAGCTCTCTTAGCAGCACAAAGGACCTGTGCCACCTTTCCCCACTGAGCCTCACCCGTGTCCCTAAGGCAAGTCTTGTCAGAAGTCTGACAGTTTTCCATCTCTTTTGTCGGGCAAGAGACAAAATCTCTGTACACAAGAATCATGCCTAAAATAACCCAACTACAAAGTCCACACATATATATATATATCTCCTTCTTGAACTAAATACACTTCCATGTACAAGGTCCTAAAAACCACTCACACTTTTAGTCTTACCTACTTTTTATTTCCAGTTTCTATTCACACCATCAAAAGACTTCCCAGGCTTTTACACATGTATTTACACCCATCTCCCACTGGGCCAAATCCATAAACCACTTTCATGTTTCTTTTATTCCCATTCAGATCCCTTCCCAACCAACAGCATACTGTTATAGCCCATTCTCTTCCTCCCTTCTAGTTTTCCAGACCCATTTCTTCTACTTCCAGTCTCTTCCATCCCCACACACCCCTGTAACGAAGGAGACACATCACCGTGTACTAACCCGAACCCGAACGGAATGAGAGAGGGATGCAGAGTTCCAAATGCACCTGTTCTCACCTCCCAGTCCAGGTAGTCACTGGCATCCTCAAAGTTAGTGAGGAGGGAGACAGAGCAGAAGAGTTTGGGCAGCTCCTCGCGGGTCAGGGGGGGAAATCGGCTGTCCTTAAGTGCACTAAAGGGAAGAGAAGAAATATTGCCTGATACAAGCACCAGATTGGAGTGTCAGGCACTCAGTGATTCCCCTTTTGATTTTGCCTCTGTGAAACACGTTTCTCTGCCGCTGCAGAGAAAATGACTTGCATCTCTCCTTAATCCAGTAAACTGTAATGCCAGTGATGCTGTCCAATACCTACCACAGTAAGAGAGAAAATATATGCTACAGAAGATGTTAAAACTGTTAGTATGCAAGACAGGTTTGCAATTAGCCTTAAAATGTCACCTGTTGCAAAGATGTTCCACTCAATCCTGCTATTCCCCTCACCCTGGCTATCTTACACTTCTCAGGTGTATTTTATTGTGAAGCACATTGCACTGAACTATGCTGATCCAACATACTAACCTTGAATCCTTACAGATTTTCAGCAAGCGAAACTAATTTCAGATTTATTTCATTTCCAGCAGTTACCTGGTTAATGTGTATTCCCTGAGTCCTGAGTGAAGATTCATGGCTGAGAAGGTCCCGATGCAGCCACGCAGCCGCTTGTCTCGCCCCGTCTTCCACGTCACAAAGAGTGGACTGAAAAGGCAAAAAAACAAAAGAAACCTTCCAGCCCCTAAGGGATATTTGGCTGCTAAGAGGAGAGAACCAAGGTGTAAAAGAGCACATGCACATGGCCTTGCTTTCTCTCTCTCTCCAGTAAACCCCAAAAGGCAGGTTTGCTCACCTGCTACCCAGCAATAACCAAACCTCGTGCCCACACCCTGCCCCACTCCACCATTCCCCCTCCACCTTCTCAGCATACTCACTCCCCTCCTGCAGTGCTCTGCCAGCCATCCATGGACACCTCCTTGGACAGATTCTGCACTGAATCTAATGAGGGACATGGTTGTTTGACCCCACTGAGCACCTGTCAGTATTGGCTGCACTTCACAGCACCCACTAATTTACAGGACAGCCCATATAAAAATCAATATAGGTGAAGCAAATAAGATTAGCTGCTTATAGTACCAGTGAACCTGAAAGATCCCCAGGCATTCTGCAATTCATCTATAAATCAGATTTGCAATAAAAGTTTTTCTTTTTTTCTTTTTGGTTTTGGTTTTTTTTGTTGTTTGTTTGTTTTGTTTTTGTTTTTGTGGGTTTTTTTCTAAAGGAATAAAGAGAAAGCCAAATTATTTTTTTCCCTGTTACTTCCATGAGGATCTGACTTCTGGGTCCATCCCAAAGGCATGAGCACTTTATATCCAATCTTTTGCTTACTTTCCATTTGATTTATATTTACACATATTCTCTCCTGTTGGACACATACCTAAATCACTATTGTTCCTACTCAAACATCACCTGGATTTCCATTTTCCTGTCTACTATCAGGAATTTACAGGCATAACAGTAGATTCTCAAACTCAGCAGGCTCATTTCAAGCTGTTAAACTAGAACCCATGATTTAGCCTCAAAGAAAAACAAGCTCAGAACAACAGAGCTCTGTGAAGAGATAAACAGGTAAAGATGACTGTCAACATTAAATGCAAAAAACTAATTTCTACAGAAGTGAGTGAAATTGCAAAGAGTTGTAGAGAGAAACACTAAAGAAAGGACAGTGGTGGCTGCAGCTTTACAAGAATAACCAAACATCTGGAAAATTTTGTAAGGCAACTGATGATGTTGTTCTAACTATAAAACCAGGATGAATGATTCTACAAGTTGTTCAGATTACAGAGTACTGAATACAAGACATCAGTCTGTGGATTTCTACAGAACTTTAAGTAGTATGATAGAATGTGATTTTCTGAGATTAAACAAACATTGACAGGAGTTCTGAGCCATCAAGACCGATTCAACAACACTGCTCAGGCATTTACTTTCCTCACATACTCGAAGCTCTTGTAAGCAATGTATCCTTGCAGCAAACGTTGCAAAAAATACTAAGATGTTCTGTTCAGATAACAAAACCAGCACAGAGTGTGGATGGCTTCTCAAATACAGCAACAGAACTTCTAAGTTGTGGGAACATAATTTAAACTCTGGTGATAAATCAATGTCGAGTGATGTTCCTCAGAGCAACAATGGAATTAAAAACTATCACAGCATGAATCCATCATTCAGGATGTAGTTACCAGCTGTGACCAATGGCAGAAGTACTACCCAAAATAGCAAATAGCCTGTAAGTGATAATTGTGAAGGACTTTGCCCACAGAGGAAGCAGAAACATCCTTCCACACCCAACAACAACCTTATTGTTGCTTGACCAAGACAGGGGATTTGCTGTTCTAGTTTTCTGACAACACTTCAAAGCAACTTGCAGGAGATCATTGCTCTACATTTTATATGGCTACCATATGTTGAAAGAGCAAACAGAAACAGAGTGTAAGAAAATACATTAGAAAGCTTACAGAACAAAACAAACCAACAAACCTAAACTTACACAGGAGAACTGTGAGAAACACTACTGTCACAAGTTCAGTGGAAATTTCCCTAATCTAATTAAAGTTTTGAAACCATTGCTCAGCCCATGTGACACTCATCCCAAACAGGAAAGGCAAAGGAGAACATAAAACCCATCACTCTCAGAATACAAATCTAAGCAAGTTCCCCTTCAATTCAAATGGCAGGTTCACATTTTCAATTTGCTCTTTCCCCTTCCAAAGGGAAAAAACCCACAACCCATATTTCCACTGAGTGTTCTGTGTCTATCATAGAAGAGATATTATCAGAAGGGACAGGATAATTGCATTCAGAAGCCTGTCATATCTTAAAATACTTTAAAGCACATTTTAAACAATTTTTCACTGTGGTCAGAACAACTGAGGCATAAAAAGAAAAAATACACAATTTTGTAAATATAGAATTTCACTATTTTCACAGCAGAAAAGATGTTTCTGTCTCTGAAGAATAAATGCACTCAGCAAATTGCAGGTGCAGCTGACAGTAAGTCCATTGTTCCAGAGCCCCTCCCTGAAAAGTGTTATTTCCTAGATGTACTAAGAAAAGTCACAACAACCTTTTGTCCCCGCTCACCCAAGAGCACTTACATGTACTTTGCAGCCATATCTTCAGCAGATTATGGCAACTGTTTCTTCCCCAGACACAACATCCCACTTAGCTGTGTTTGATGAGGGTTTTTAGGCTGAGAGGGGAATTTCAGCAACTAAAAGCTAGCTTCTCCAATTGCAACTACAAAGGGAATTTTAAAGTGGAAAAATACAGCTTGTTCAAATCAGGGTTTAGCTTGTACTCGGGAAAAACCTGTTACAGAACAGATTTTATGATGCAAGTTCCTTATTATTTGTCTTGCATGGCAACTGGAAACTTCCACGGTGTAGTTTTAGCACCAGTTTGTAACACCTGCTATTAACAAATCAGATTGAAGTACAAAAGTAGAAGAAGCAACCAATTAACTATTTGCACAGGTTCCAAATTGTAATTTCTTCCAGCAACCTGAATATTAAAGTGGATATTTTCTTCCTTTACCAAGTTAATTCAGACATAACTGCAAGTCTTGCAATTCCACTGTCTCTCCATTGATTTGTGAACATCAGTGCCAACACTGGAATAAGGGAACCTTACTCTGTCTTACCATAATTCCCATCAAGATTGTTGTCCATGAGCATACCCCCTCAAGATGGTAACTGAAATTCATGGTGGTTCTCAAGTCAGAACCCTGTAACTTTTATGTTATTACACTATTTATGCCAAATCCTGCCCTTCACACCTACTTTTGTCTTTACTTTGGGGTTCAGCACCAATTTAAAAATCTGCTATCCAGAACAGGCTGTGCCTCTTTCTATTCCATCAACAGTCTGTCCAGGGAGACTTCCTGGATAAACCTTTGTTTTACTCAAGGATCTCTTCCACTGACACTCATTATGTCACAAAGGCCCAAAATACAAATTATTTCTGTATTTTCACTTTGCTTACTCCTATATTTAATGACATTTGCCTCGAAGTTCATTCCATGACTGTCCCAAGTGGGACAGCTCATCCTTATGTGCTGCTCTACAACAGAGCAAAAACCCCATGCTTTTCCCTGGGGAACATCCAACTATTTGCTGGAAGCAAAAGCATAAATGCTGAAACACAAGAAAATTTAGGTAAGCATTTGCCTGCAGGGGAAGAGGAGGTAAGGGCTGGTTATGCTTTGCTGGTTTGCTGATCTGAAAGTCTTGTAATTATGAGCACAGAAATACCCAATGAGCAACTCTGAACTTTTCAAATCTGGGCATAAAATTCAACCAGCTGCTATTCCCCTAAGGATGTCCTTTTTGAAACTAGTCAACAGAAAAAGCAACAAAATCCAGCCACAAATCTCCTCTGACACCAAAAGAATGCAGCTGTGTAAAACCATCTCTCTTACTGACTTAACAGAACAACAGCAAAAAAAACCCCCTCTGCATTTCAAGTGACACAATAATAAGCAGACTAACATAAAATGTTCTAAAAGGAGCCTACCCAGGGTACGTAGCAACAACAGCAGAGATGTTTCAGCCTGGGGAGTCCCTGGAACTACCTGAGAGCCTGGTCCAGAGCATTTCTCCATTCATTTGTATTTACAATATTAAACTGCTTAGTCTGTGGCAGCATTCAGAACATGTATCCATAATCCTACTTGGATAATAACTGCATGGAAAGCACAGCCCACATCCATCCTGACTGGCAGTAAGGTGGGCAGACACTGAATACACAGAAAAAGTCCTTGACCTGTTTAAGCCACTGTTCCTTTACATCAATTTAAAATTCATTAACTTAAAATAAAAAGTTGTTGACACCGTTAATTTATCTATTGTTCTGGAAGAGGCCCCTGGAGGAGTGTCAGAAAGTCTATCTGTCATTGATCTTTCCCATATAATTCTTTCACCAAACATTTTAACAACATTAACATTTCCACACCTCCGCATTCAACCTTCAGATAAACATTAGCTAAATCTCACCAAAGCCAAACAGCTTCATAAATCCTTCTCCTCACTTCTGCTCATACACATCTCCTTTCCCCCTAACCTTCCTATCATCCTTGAAAGTTAACTCTCTTGGCAGTGCTGGGTTCATGGCTGGACTCAAACGTTTTTCTAACCTAAATGATTCTATGATTTCTCCTCACATTGCCCAGCTAACACTATCTTCCCAAAGCATCTTCTATAACTGGCAATTTTGCAATTCCCCTCCCTGCTAAACCCATTAACTGGGGCAGCTGAACAGCCTTGTGAGTGTCCTTGCCCAATTTTCACCAGTTCAGCATTTGTTTCAGGATGAGCTGGAAACTTGTTTCAACTTCTTACTTTATTCCCCTTCCCTTTGCTTTGCAGAAGGAAGTCTATTCCCTTGTCTCTTCACCAAGTCAGTGTCTCACATTAGCTGGAGCCTCTTCAAATTAATGATGTTATTTTACTGTTCTGCTAGAACAGTTTTGCAGGAGGAACCACTCAGTTAAGTTTTGGCAAAGGAATCTATTCAGAAAGAAGGGGGCAAACTTTTACGTTGCCATGAAGTGGGTTTGCAGTTCTCAGTGAAGGACACAGTGTCTCCTGGGACA